CCACTCTTATTATTTCACATGTCTGAAGACATGTGAGGCTGTCTTTGGGCTGTGTGTGAGATATAAGGCTGTTAGACTCAGCTGTTCTCAAAGCACGACTGCAATGACACTATGTGCCAACGTGACTATTTATACACGACTGCCTGGCATGTCATAGGGTCTGGCATTACCAAGATGTTCTTCAGTGCCTGAGACTTGCAGATATGTCCCATCTCCCCATAATCACTCCCCAACACCTCCACTGCCACCTCACCTTTTCATATGTCATTAGTAGAAATTCATTTCTTCTGGGAAAAGACACACTGCTGCTGAGAAAACAAAGCCTTCCCCTCTGGGAAGACAACTAAGATCTCATTAAAACAGAAGCTGAAGTTATGACTAATTTAAAACCACACATCACCATTACACAATTAAAACAATGAGACTAATAGAAGGCAAAACTTATAACCTGGTGACTGCTGCTGTACACAAGAAGCAAGGCAGGTGAGCAGCTAGGGCCTCCCTGAGGGAAAGGAGGAGCAGGAACTTGAAGGATGCGTGGGCAGTACACAAACAGAGGTCAGAGTAAATTACTCTTTGTCAATTCTACAGTAAAATAGATGCTTTATTACACGAGTAGAACATCTGGCTTTCAAACACAGTTCTAGCTATAAGTGAGTGCATCTTCCTAGACATCTCTGGTAGAAAAGAAAGGGAAAGGAAGAAGTAATTTTCTTAAACCTCAAATCCATTCAATATCAGGAAACAGGAATTCCTTCATACCACAAAAAAGCAGGCATGGAGAGTAAATTGCTTCCTCTTTCTACACACAAGAGAGAAGATCCATAATGAAGTAATTGTTGGTTTACCTGTTCTCAAACAAATGGAACTTGCTGGTGTGCATCCTGCCTCTCAGCTCTGTGACAGTCTGTAACACCAGGCACACAAAAATGCTGGAGCAAAGAGAAACTCCCTACAATCCTTCAAGTACTTCCTTTCAGGCTGGGCCCACAGGGTGATGCTTTTTGTAATATTTTTTTCAAGGTTCATATCTATTGATGAATTCACCTGCCATACTGGGAGACAGTTTGACATAAGTCACGCTGAGGTGCCAGTGGGACAACGTGCAGTGCTGGCATACTGCAGACACCTTGAGCAGCACCTGCACAGTATCAGTCCAGAGACATACCCTGTTTAACTGCAGACTTTCAGCAAAACAGCAGAAAACAAGCAAGATCGCAGTATGTATGTTAGTTACGTCTGTCCCCCAAGTACTGAAGGCGTAAGCACACCAGGGAGCAAGTCAAGGGCCAGCACAAAGGCTGGCAGACCGTGTGGGCTCCTTTCTCTGTGGAGAACAGGCCAAACAAACTCAGAAAGGAAACTGAAACCAGGAGCCCTGAGGATATTTAAGGATTCTGCAAAGACATTTCACTAATTAGGCCTCGAGAAGAAAAATACTGGTTTGAATTTCTCCAAGTTGAAAGAGGATCCCTGGAGGAACACTGTGGGAATTGCAGAACCATTTGTGATTTCATCATTGCATTATGCTCCATTAGAACTCCCACTGTTCCGCCTGGTCTACAGAAATCTGGACAAGCAGGTTTCAGACAGCTAAACTTAGATGTTCGTGTCTTTGTGAATGCTCATAAGATGTCCTACTTAATTTTCAGCTGCTGCTCAAGAAGAGGGTGGATCAGTTATAGGTCATGTGCCAGGCTCACACAAGTGTTTTGGATCCCTCTGGACAGTCACTTTGAAAGGCACTAGTCACACACATCAGGCCACTGACCCGTGCTCAAACCTCTGGATGCTGCACAGGAGGCACTTTGGTGCTATGTGCAGTGTAGACAGATTCCTCAGGAGACCCTACTCCTTCTGCAACATCTCCCACCAGGAGGGCTTGTCCGTGCCAGGGCTGCTGCAAGTGGTTTCAGCTCCAAGCTGCCTCTGCAGTCTCTCTGCTTCTTCCTTCCCTCCCACGGATGCTTGATCTTAACAGCACAGAGAGCTGTTGCCCAAGCTCTCAGCGATTCAGTTGGAGCTTCTGCCAACAAGGAAATCGTGATGGCAGCCCACTTTCTGCTGCCAGTGGGTGGGGAGGTCACACCTGTAGCCACCAATGAAGTGGCACGACAAGCTTTTTATTTTTGCCTTCCTGTCTTTCAATGTCTGTATACAAAACATGAATGTTCTGTAAACAGACTAATCAAGGATTCTTCTAGGTTTCTTTTCTGTTTTTCCCCCTCCAAGCTGGGGAAGAAGAATGCTGACGAAAGGTATTTCTGTTCTTAATTTCTGTGCAGAGATTTAGCAAGCAATGATATGAAGATACAGAGCCAAACACTATGCAGCAAACTTGTGCATGTAGCTCCCTGTAGACAAGAAGCATGATTTGCTTCTCTTTTCCAAAACTTATCTTGCCAAGAAGTTGGGAAATTCCTGTAGGACACACAGCTGTGCTTTTCTCTTTATGTTTTTATCGGAAGAACAAAAAAGTTGCTGAGGGTTTGGGTTTTTTAGATAATAGAAATATGCAAAATGTTTAATGAGAAGAAAGAAAAACCACAATACCCTAAATTATTGAGATCTCTTTTACTCCTCTGTTTACAAAAGCCAAAACCTTATGCATACTACACACCACACACATGGAAATAAGATCCGTGTGACACATCACAGAGATATGATACACCAAGTTGTCACCTGTCTCATACTACCTACCTACTTCCAGGAAGCAAGAAAGAGCCCCAGCAGTCCTGAGTAAATGTTCACAACCTTTTTGTTTTGTGATTTATCATAGTGTGGGTTTTGTTCTTTTGGGGTTTTTTTCGTTTTCATTTTATTTTAAAATCAACCTGCCAGAGGAGTGCTTCCTTCTTTCACATGCAGAAGTTACAAAATTGCGTGATAAAAGCAGAGAAGGTTGCAGTTGCCTCAAACGATGGCAATTAGGAAACATACTGAGCAAAAATTGACTAAAAGGAGGCCACAAGATTGATTCAGCCCTTTATGGTCAAAAAGGCCCCAACTTCTGCATTGGTGCCCTTGACAGTATCGCTCATTCCCAGGAGAAGGGAGGATGGAGGGGAATACCACACTGAAGGACGTGCCTGACCTGCAGGCTCAGCCCAGCAGGCCAAAGGCAATGCTGCTCCGCGGCAGGGGCAACAGGCTGCCAGGGGAAGGAAGGAGGGAAGCACCAAGGACAGGTGCTCTAGGGTTTCTTAGCTAGGTATGTGCAAACTGATGACTGCCATGGCCTGTGTCTGGGTGGAAAAAGCTATTCTGTAAGAGATCCATGTGCTGCAGCAGCACAATGGATGTAAAATTTCTGGAGCAGAGCCTTCACCCTCAATATGTTCTGCTCCTCATCAGTGGTAGCACTGAACTGCCTTGCATCAGTCATGTCACCAGTCCTGGCTCAATGGTGACAATCCAGCAAAGGTCACCCCATGTTTCCCATGTTCTCACGCCTGAGAATTGCTCAGTTTCACCCAAATCCTCAGTAGTTTTTGCTCAGTGTGGATTAGTGCTTGGGAAGGGAAATCTCAGGACACTCGGAGCCTTAGCACAGCAAAACATCTCTCATGTGTAACCTGTACACTGCACCTATGCTAAAAGCACCTCATCACTGTGGGCATGCAGAGGTCACAGAATTAGCTCAAGCAGCTACACCAGGGCTGCCTAACCTCCAGAACAGCTGTTCTCCACAAAACGTGGAAAACCACAGCTGTTTTGCAATGGTAGAAGAGCACAAATCCTTAGTAGTAATATTTTCAAAATATTTCCCTCCTTTAAAAAAATAATTAAGCATAATTATTTCCTAATAAAATTTAAGACAATAATAATAATCACCTATAATAAAGATACACGTATTCCTATTAATACAACCATGGTGTACCAATGCAAGATCTTTAAATTCATTAAAAGGCAAATACTCCTTAGATTGAACACAAAATATACATTATAAACAAGTGGTTTCTGGATTTCAAGTCAAGCATCACAAATAATACCCTAGGCTGAGTCAGGCATAATTATTATTTTCATATTCTGCATAAAGAAATCATTAGTATTTCCTGCTTTTCTAAAGAAAGTCCAGTATTGTGTCATTCAAGAAAGCCCTGCCTTGCATTACTTTCAGTTTCAGTTGTCCCTAGCACAAATAGGAAAAACCTCTCCTTCACCTGAGCTATTTCTGTCAATGTGAGAAGCAGAGTGGGCAATGAGAACTCCAGCACATTTTCCCTTGGGTCACGGGTGATGTGGGCGCATCCAGGTGGGTGCCTCAAACACACCCGCGTGGGCCAGACCCTGATCCTCACATTTCCACCCGCCTTTACTCCCTGGACACTGCTAGCAGAATTAGGCAGTGTTTACTTAGAACTGCCACATCCTTGAAGGGCTGTGAGAACACGCAGCCAGTTGTCCTGATCCGACGGTGACTGTGTCTCTAGGGGTGCGATCCCAGCAAGCGGAGGTGACCAGCAAACACAGGCACCTCAAGGAAAAGCACTGCCAGCTGCCCCCGTGCCTCTGTGCCCAGCTCCAGATCATGACCCAAGGCTAACCCAGCAACCCTCAGCCACCAGAGCTTCCTCTGCTTTATAAAATTAGTTAGTTTTCATTGCATACTGTGTTTTCATAGGCTGTCTTCATTTGTCCCTAAAAATTTCTCATGCTGCTTAACTTAGATAATACAGAGTTTAAAAATAACATAAGGCAGTCTCCTGACTAACAGAATAGTACATCGAATATACTGCATTTAATACAGAAGCATCCTATGATATATATTATATATTTGTATATTTACATTGCATGTTATATAATGTATATACACAATATGTATATATATATACACACAGAGCCTTTGCACATCCCTGTGATCTTTAGATCACAGTTGCCAAAGGCGATGGATTTACTACAGCAAAACAAAGAGGAGCGGACCAAAACAAGATTAATAGCTGCTCAGACCAAATCTTCGCGCTGCCCGGCGTTAATCATTGCCAAGGGCAGTCATTTACCGCGCCGTAACCCGCGGCGGAGCCCTCTACCAGAGACCAGGGAGGAAAACACACTCCAGAGGGCCGGGAGGAGCCGAGCGCCGCCGCCGGGCCAGCCGGGCCACAGGGCTGCCTGCCGGGCCAGGGCTTGCCCAGCCGCCCCTGAAGCGCGGCCGGTGCCGCCGAGCCCGGCAGCGCCCTTCGTCCCCCGCAGCCCGGGGCACGGCCCGCACCCAACCCCGCACCCAGCCCCACACCTCAGCCCCGGCCAGCCCCGCCGCGGCCGCCCCGGTGGCCCCCGGTTGTCCGGAGGTCTGACACCCCCCGATCCCGCTCCCGCTCCCGCACGGCTCACCCGCCGCCGCCGCTCTCGCCGCCGCCCAGAGCCGGGAGAAGCCGGCGCGTCACCGACAGCAGGCGGGGCCGCGCTCCCCGCCCCGCCCGGGCCCGGAGACCCAGAGGTGCGGAGAGGCTTTCCTAGAACCGGGGATCTGTCAGTCCCAGCCACCTGGAGGGGGAGGAGGCTCAGCCCTGGGGCCGAGCCGGTGGAGCGGAGCGGGCGTGGAGGTGTCCTGTGACCTGCATCCTGATCGGATCTGCGTCCCCTGATCGAGTCAGCTTGATTGAGTTGGGTGTTTACTGTTAAAAATAGGTTAGAAACTGTTGTAAAAGAGTTGATAATTGTTAAGCATGTACTGTTGGTTTGGTTATGGTAAAAGGATGAAAAGGGTAGTTATAAGAAATACGGTGCTCACCATACCATATCACACCTAAGTGCACCATCCCTCGAGCGAAACGAGCCAGCCTGGACAGAGCTGTAATGGGCCAATCAAGCGCCGTAAACCTTCATGCAAATGAAGGATCAAAAAGAAACCAATCCAAACGCACAAAAAAACAAAAAAAAACAAAACAAAAAGGTTAAAAAGACTTCTGACCCACCGAACTGTGCCGCTCCATCTGGGACATCGGGGGCATCGCTACATCGCTGCTCAAGAAGACGCAGCACCGGCGCTGCAGCATCCTCGACGGGAACGCTCCTGCTCAGCCCGCAGGCCCCCATGCTTTAGGCCTTTTTTTCTCTTATAATAAATGCTGAAATCAGTTTAGTACCGGGAGCCTGCTCTCGTTTGTAACATTTACTTGTAACGCTTCAGTTGTACGCGCCCCATGTGCTTTATGAGATTGCATCTTAAGTACTCATCTTGCTCCGACTGAAAAAGTCCGGGTTTACCGGGAGTTTTTTAGAAGCCCTTTAGTAAAGAAGGGGGAAGAAAATAAATTAAAATTATCCCTGGAGTTTTACAAGAAATGACACAGGGGTTAATGCTATGGTCTAGTTGACAAGGTGGTGAAGGGTCAAAGGTTGGATTTGATTATCTTGGTGGTATTTTCCAACCTAAATGATTCTGTTGCTCTGTGATTGACAAATCAAATTGCCTAGTTTTTAAAAGGTGAATAAAATACCTCCTGAAGATTTATTTTCGGCTTCACTTGATTTCTCAGGAAATCCATGTTCTAGTAATTTTGTTGCTTCACTGGCTAGGTTTTAAAATTCTAAGATGAATTTGAAATATGTGTAATTAATGTTGTGTGCCATCACTTGGAGATTTTCTTCATAATAGTGTTTATGCCACTACTCTGAAACCTTGGATTCCTGCGTTTTGGAATCTGTCTTCTGAAAAAGAGCTTGGCAAGCTGGGGAAAATAATTTATCTGTGACAGTGCTTGTCTCTTGCTGTTCAGGCTTTTCTTTTGTGCTGAAATTTGTTGAAGAGTGATAAATGAAAGCACCTTGGAAAAAATCCACTGATGAGAGTGGAAGGAAAAGAGTTAATTTTCTGTTGCAATGAGAAGGGGTAAGGGTTTCTGCTTCTGAAGAGCTTGTTTGATCTTTGCTTATCTCAGTGCTGATAAGAATCCTCAGAGGATCTGAGCAACTTCTCCTATTTTGAAAAAGAGAAATAATTTTAGTACCATTATATATATAATATTTACTTAATTTCTAAATACTGAAAAGACTATAATCTTTTCTTTTCTTAGCTTTTTTTTTTTTTTTTCTGTAAACTGTGGACTAATTTTCCCCATAATACATCAAACTATGAAGCAAGTTCTGGGATAAAAATTCTGAAAGGAAATAATTATTAATTTGTCCTGTGTACTCCAGAACTTTTATCCAATACAAGCTCTTAAGCAAAACACTGCAGAGACAGGTAGAGATCAAGATGAACAACTACTGGAATACAATGACAGAGAACAGAGAATTACTGGGATGTTACGTGAAGTGTCTGCATCACTCTTTTCCACACCATGTGGGTGTAGACAGGGCTCCAAATGTCACTTGTCCTGTAGTGGCAAATTTTGTGTTAGGATGGTGAAAGCACATAAAAGCTGGACATCACCTTTTTTGCCATCGCTATTAGATGTTGCCCTGTCCAAGAAAGGATTCACAAATGATGGCCAGAGTAGGAAAAGGGTGAAATGAAAGGAAAGAATGAGACTAACATAATTAAATAGCTCTGTATACTAGTGATTACCAGTATAAACTTATTTTCAAAAATCAATTTTTTTCTTATATTCTGGCATTTAGAAATTAATATCAGTGAGATTTGTAAACCTTGGTTATCTGTGCATAAATGTGAAATAGTGCTGCCAGCCACACAATTGACACCAAAAAAAAAAAATCATAATTAGTTGTAGTTAAATTTAGCAAAAGGGACTATACAGGCAAGTGTTCTTAATGGAATAAAGAACAATTATGACAGGGAATAGTTTTTTCTTTTGGAGAAGGCCTGTTCAAACTTCCATACTGCTTATTTGTAGGATTTCAATCCTTCATTCATTTCCCAGACTTTTTTTTGTTCTGTCCCACTTTAGTGCTGTACTGAATAATCACCTTTCATAAGGCTATGGTGTGCAGATATATTCCGGGAAAGAATGGAAAATGAAAGACCTTACTAAGATAACTGTAACAAGCAGCAGAATGAAGATGTGAATGATGCCCCTCCAGAATTTTTCTTCCTTCCTATTTTTATAGGAAAGCTTGCATCAAGAGGACCAGATGCCAATCATCATAATATTCACATTTTCTGGTTCTCAAGTGAAAGATCTGTCCAAGTCCTTCTTGATGGATTTCCTCACAGAGGTGGGCTTCTCTTTCCATAACCTAGTTTGGTCAATGTACCCAGTTTTTGTTAGCATGGACATTTTCCTAACCTAAGTCACCTTCATGATGTTTCTTATTTTATGTTTTTCTCTCCATCTCTCATGGATGAGGAGGGCTGCATACTGCAACTGCTCTTCCTCCTTGCTTTTGCCAGCAAAACAGCCTCTCAGTTTGCCTTGATCGATATAAAACTGTCTGGTGAAAGATTCAGAAGGACCAAACTTCAAAATTATAAATAAATAAATGAAAAGTATAACATCCTAGGAAAAACCCAGGAAAGATGAAGGAGAAAAACATGAAAGGACTGGAAAAAAGAGATTGATTTCCTGAGGAAAGGGACAGAAATCAGGGCAAGGGGGAGTTTTAAAAAAACTGGTCTTGCCAATTTAGTTCTGTTGATAGATGAAAATTTGTGTCAAGGAAATTCCTGTGCATTTTCTGTGAAGTCCTCATGGCATTTTGGTCCACTTTTCTTCTGCCAGTGGCATTGTGTCCTGACATGATATCCAAGTGTTTCTCAGGGTGCAGGTGTAGTGCTGGAATGGGTGATGGGGCCTGCTGCTGGCACTGGCTGACCTGCCAAGTCCCCTTCCCCAAGAAGGGGACTTCTGTCCCTATGCCAAGAACTTGTCTCTCCTCTCAATGCTATCATAAACTAATTGAACTTCAGGGAGTTATCCAATCTATGCAAAGTATTTTTTCCTTGTTTCAACAACAAATAGAAGAGGGAACTTTTTTCCACCACAGCTCTTTCTTAAAATTTCTACAGAAAAAAGATTTTATTCTGCTATCTTTCCATCAGTTTGATATATTTCAGATTAAATCTGCCACAGATATGACCATCCATTTATTCATAAGGGTAAACTTATGTGTGCATTCATCTACATTGACATTTTGTTTTAGCTGAGGTATGTATTTTTTGAAGCTAATCCCTGGTTGCCCTCCCTTCCTGTTCTTTGGTTCATTTTGTAGAGCAGCCCCAAAAGACACAGTAAAAAATGTTCCACCTGAAACATTACAAAAAGCTGCATTCCAACCACAGATGGAGCCAGCCTGGAACAAATCTTCCTGAGCACACAGAGGGAGAAGGTTACATCCTCCACATAAGCTGGTTTGCACTGCAGAGCTTTTCCTGCTGGAGTCCTGCTGCTTGCTAACATAGACCTAGCCTAAGTCACAGAGTGATTACAATGCTGGTTTTGTTACCCCATGTTTATAATCCCTCAATTATTTCTTTCAAGTTGAATACATTTCTGCATCCAGGGAATGTTACAGGACTGGATTCTGACTGCTTGATCGTATCATGAAAAATTCCAGATAAAAAGGACGATTCTTAAATTTGCAAAATACACTGCTTCAAACTAAATAATTAAAGAACAAAGAAATGTGGGATATTATGGGCACAAATTAAAACATTATTTTTAAGACTTTCCTATATTTTCCTTTTCATGGCTGAAGAGGAGGAAATCATTCAGCTGTAGGCTGCAAGGATTCTTAGGCATTACTCTTAGAAGGCATTAATAAAAAATGAGAGGAGTTGTGTCAATGATTGCAGTTCTGAAAAACGCTTGATAAAGATGCTCAGTGTTTTCATCTTGTGGAAGGTGTAAGGATTGAGAAAAGAGTGGGATGAACAAAAGAAGGAACTCTGCGAATGTTTCCCCTTACTGGTTTGTGTTCTGAGGTGGAAAACAACAATTTTCCCTCAACTATGGTGTTGTGTTTAGCAAGGAGGGATTTCTTTGTAGCTTGTTTGCAATAAAGCATGAAATCAACACATTTTCCAGTGTCTTTCTACTGATTTGTGTCCATTTTCCAAGTATGTAGAGCAATAAGCAGATGAACATATTTAAGTACTCCCACCTGCAAATAGGATGGGCAAACGTTCTCCTATCTAAAACTGCTGAAGGAATGAAACTCTTGGCTTTAGCTTGTGCATTTAGGTGACCATGGCTGAGGGAGGACTTTTGGTTAGAACAATCAAGTTACCAGGACTCTGGACATTTTCATGCAATGAGCGCAGTAGCTTTAGACATGGTTTTGCAAGTGCTGTGCTCTCACATTCAGTCGTATCTGCTAAATTGCTGTCTCAAAAGTGCCGGGTTTAGAAGCACAAAGTCTGCCCAAGCAAAATTGGGTCAGACTCTGTGAGGGAGAGGATT